TATTATAAAAAGAAAAACAAAACAAATAGTGCACATTTGTGTGTTTTTCCAGGTGCTTGTTCAACTTGAATTTAAGTTTTCTTGTGTTTAATTGGCATTGACATACCTGAGGCGAAGAAATGGACTGAACAAAAAYAAACAAACAAAAAAAAGTTTTAGACAGTGAATAGAAGACTGAGTCACATCAGTGTGCAAACTAAAGAAACTGTTACTTTTTTTTCAATTATAAAAGAACTTTGTGTACCGTCACATTTGTTCAGATTCACAAGTTTTTTCGGGGATTGATGGAGAGAAAATGATTACCAACTGTGTGCAGAAGGCTTTGGGATTATTTCATCCAACAGTTTAAAGTAATCCTTATGTAAATACCGTGCTTTACTGAAAATATAGAAAGAGACAATTCCCCTTAGCTGGGTTCTTGGTAATCCTCGTCCTCATTGTCTTCAGCTTACTGTCGATTTCATGTCTGGCTGTGGCATTAGCTCCATTGCTCAAAAATTTCATTTGCCTTTTTTTATCTTCTTTAAAAGTTAGTTTTATAGTCAAAAATACATAATTTTAGTTGTTCTTCATACATGTATGCCACTAAGTTTGACAAAATTAAGTACGTTTTTTTGTCTTTATCTGAAAAGTGCAAATACTTTCTGCATGCTTGAAGACTTTTAAAAAAAGTCAATCTAAAAAAGTGGCATTGGAGAAGTTTGAAAGCTCACTTTTTAATATTAATTTATTTTTTATTGTTACAGAGTGCATAATTTATTAGCAGCATTTGCAAAGTATAGTTCATAAAGTGGTCTTTGAATTACTGCAACGATGCCGATAAAGAAGACTTTTTTCACAGCAGTGGTGAGTGTTACTTGGTCACAGAGTGCCTGATGTGGAACAGAACAGAAATTGGAAATACTTAGAGGTCATTCCTCTCTTTCTTTCTTTTCTTTTCTTTTTTTTCCCTCCAAGAAGCCATTGTGTGAGCCAAGAGAAAGGAGCTGATTTTAGTGTGCGGTCTGGTTTCAGAACTCGGCTGTAAACTTGTCTCTCGCACAGCACAGAGAATAAAACATGTGTTGTGGTGTACTGCCACCCCTCCTTCCTCTCCCAGCCTGCTCCTCCACAACAGCCCAGCCGTATCACATGTCCCCACACAAGTCTCCCACTGGGTTTTCAGATGGTGTTTTTCTCCAGCCGGTGTGGGGACAATGACAGATAAGAATGCATGCATTACATGATTCATTTTCTGGAGTTTCAGCAGGTGGTGTTAGTTTGC